CAAATTATAAAAGAGTAAACATTTCTGTAATCGTAGTAGTGCTGTGCGTTATTTGTTTAAGGTTACATGCTGACTGACTAACGGGGCTGTGCTATGCGTGAGGCCAGCATTCTAGCTTTTAGTTATGATGAACACAGTTTCCATAATTTTACTTTATTTATAGAAAAAGGTCTTTGGTTCTGCATACAATGACCTTATCTTGCAGGAGTTTATGGCCGTTTCACTTTACTTCAGAATGCATCAATGCCATTGGTCTATTGGAGACATTCAGAAATCTTCCTAGTAAATGTTGGAAACATTCTCGTTACATAAATGCAATAAATCACACTTCTGCAGCGTTTATTTGAGAGCGCACAAGAAAATCTACGCTTGAGCAGCTCATATTTTAGGGGGCGTGCTAAAAGTTTTGTGCATGAACAGAGGAAATTGGCGCGCAAGCGATAAGATTTGCATGCTCGTATTACATGAATGCGATCTTAACTCATAATTCTGCACTCATCACATTTGCCATTGAAATAACACCATATGTAGTTGGAAGATCTGTGTAAAAGGCCTGCCACCACGGCTGGAAAAAATCCTAGAGGAAACACTCCAATAATCACATTATTGAGATCAAGGATTTGGTCAGTAGTACCTCAATAACATTGGACATTTCAGTTCGTTGTTCTTCCAATCTGTTGTGCAGTTCCATTTTTTCATCCAAAAGTTGAAGTCCATACTGTCCAGCCCTTTGAAGAGCCTCTTCACCATCCTGCACCTTTCGCCGCAACACTTTAATCTCATCCTCTAGATCGGACATCTGAAATGAGAGAGAGAAAAATGTGTACTGAATGTGATAGAATTGGTCAAATGTGGTTTTCAAGCATCAAAACAATCACTGGGTGACATGCTGCAAAAAGTAACTATAAATGTCAAATATTTTATCATGATTAACAAAAGTGAGAAAACAAAATGCCACTTAATCTAACAGTAATTTAAAACTCAAGCAAATAAAAAATCTTACAGCTTTTTCAAACAACAATTAGATGACAAATGCTTAATTTTACATAATAGTATCAAAATGAGGCACCAACATTTTTGAATATTGAATAAAATTGAAAAAATTAATATCCAAATAAAAATTTAATATTTGATCCATTTCTCAGTGTATATAGGCAATGTATGTTGGTGCATATAAACAAAACAGATCTATTAAACAGATATATTTACTCAAATAAAATTTCAGTCAAACATATTTAGAAATTGAAAGATACAATTAAATATAAGCAGAATATTGCAACAAAAAATAACAACTTACAAAATTTCAAATAAATGTTTCCATTTTATTTTTGCTTCTCTTACTTTTCCTCTTTTTTAAATTTGTATTTAATATTTTTCTATAACAAAGTTGGGTGTACTAGTTTTTGGACCATTATTGTAAGGTATTTTGTTAGATAAGCTCCAGATTTGGCTTCAGTACTGACTAATCTAATGTAAATGCAAAAAAATAATATTGTATAGCTTTATATTAAAAGAATTAATTTAACAGATAGATTTGTGAAGGCATTTATATATGTTGAGCACTGTATGGGTTTATACCATTATAACCATTATATTGCCTATTAGACAGTTTTACATTTAAAATAAAACTCTAACAGGTTTATGATAAGTGAAGGTTGCGAAAATGATGACAGAATTGTCTGTTTTGGGTGAACTATCCCTTTAAACCTAAAGTGTGTCATTTCTTTGCTACAAGTAGCATTATCAAAGGCAAAAAATACAGTTGTTTTCAGACTTTCACCCTATCCTCCAATGTATAGAAGACTGCATTAATAGGTATCGCAATGCAATAGTGCATATTTATATAATTCTTGTTAATTTATTTAATTTAGTATCAAATATCAGAATATTGCATAAAATGATGGTAAACCCCAGACAGCACACATTTGGACAGTAACATTTAAGGCTAGTTTTTATGATGTATTTTCACATCTTGACTAGGCACAGGATGATAACCGCCTGCCACCACAACTGGAAAAAATCGTTGAGCAAACACTGCATTAATGCACCGTTTTCAAGGTGTACCACAGTTTGGAAAAATCAAGGTTCTAATACCGCTAAAATGTTCTGTTATACTGTTCCATGGTTATATGTAGGGCCAGACGGAATCTGCGGATGTTTTTTGCTATTTCTGCTGAGAATTTTGGTAAAAATCCGCGGATTTCTGCAGAATTATTTTGGGAGTATCCAGCGGAGTATCAAAACTAAAACCTTAATATATGAAACAAAAAGTAATAAATTACTGAATAAAAACTGAATAAATTTAGATTGACACATTTACTCAAGTAAATAAACAGAATTAATGATGGGGCAAAAAATCTGCAAAATTCTGCGGAAAATCTGCAGAATTCCGTGTGGGCCTAGTTATATGTAAGGTTTTTTTATGTATTTTTATTTGTTGTAAAGAAATCTGTGCTTTTGAAGCTAATGAAGAAAGCATAAATTAGTGATTTATTTTAACTATTTAGCCTGACATTTTTAGTGCTCCAAAATATTGTTTCTTAAAATAAAATAAATTGTGTACAATGGGGAAAAGTTTTTTTGTTTTTTTTTTTGTTTTACCCATACATTTAAAAAAAATAACTCAGTTTAAAGCAGTAATCACAATACCGTAATATTTTTATACAAGGTTATCATATCGTCAGAAACTTATACCGGCTCAATCTTGACCATCGATACGAGAAGATCACTCCAATTTGGGCATGGGCTGGTATAAGATTTTGACGGTATGATAACCTTGGATAAAAACAAACAAAAAATAAAAAATCAGTTTCATGATATTGTAATTAATGCTCTAAATTAGGTGCTTTTTAAATGTCTGGGTAAAAAACAACAACAAATTATTATTATTAAATTAACTATTAGTCAGTTTTACCATTTAAATAAAAAGTAATCATTCATACAGTATGATCACATATTTTAAATAATTAAAGTGAAGCTGAATAACAAAAAAATATTTATTGTCATTTTATTAAATAACGTTACCTAACTTAACTACATTTTATTAAGCTACTTAAAACATTACACAAGTACACATTTTACTTAACTCTAATGTTCTTGCATATTTAAATGACTTGGGTAAACTAGCATTACATTGTTTATACATTAGCTCAGTCTATCCCTGTCAATCACCATTCACTTTCATTCTTGCATGTGTGTTTATAGAGGAATATTAAATGGTAACTTAACGTTACAAGGTGTTATGTTTATAAGAAAGTTATACATATCTGGAATTGTGATGTTGAGTATCATAAATGACATTAACAGCATTAGTTCGTTGCTACGGGCTAACTAACTTAATGTTATGTAAACTTCGATCAAAGACATCGCGCGGCATTCATAATCAACCCGTTTTCTTAGCATCATATCTAATTGACACCTACAGTAGAAAGCATTCATCTGAACGGGTTACCTTCAAGTTTGAATGGTATTTGGCGATAGAAACACTTTAACTGAAGACTGAGGAACCTCCGCCGCTTTCCTGCTGGAGAACTTTCAAACGGCTAGTTTGAATTCTGCAGCAGTCGTCAATCACATCTCGCGAGAAAACGCGAGGATTACAATCCCCCCCCCAAAACACCGCTCTCCGGGCTATAATGCCTGCCAGTCACCGTGGTCATTAAATGCATTTCTTGGATTTGGGTTCCAAACAAATTATTAAACAGTGCAAAAAACTGAAATTACTTTTACACGACGTTGCATATAAATGTTCCATAGATTCAAATATTATAATAAAGTAAAATCCGCTTTGTTGATGTTTCTGTTTTGGCTAGAAGCTAACGATAGCATAGCTTACCAAAATAACGCTTTCACTCATTTTCCTTCGGCTTAGTCCCTTTATTCATCAGTGGTCGACCAAAATAGCTTATAACATTATCAGCTTAAGCTTACCCATTCACTAGCTTATATTGGGGCATATTTGTATAAAATGGTTTGTATATAAAATGATAAAACTATTGTGAATTGTACAAATTCTTTTTTCCTCTTGTGCTCAACAAGGCTGCATTCATGTGAAATAAATCTTAGTTTGTGCATATGCTTTCTTTCAGCATTATCAATCCAGTTTTTATTGTTACATAATCTCTCCCTTACAAAAATAGCCTACAGGAATCCTGCAGGAATTTCATACAGGTATCCTACAGGATTTTCAGCTCATTTTCCTGTAGGAATACCTGCAGGAATTTTATGAAGGAAATTTTAAGATATAAATTTATGAAGGGAATTTATGCAGGGATTGTTCCTGCAGGAATTACAATCCTACAGGTCTATTAAAATATACAGTTCCTGTAGGATTATTGTGCAGGATAGATATGAAGTTAGAGAAATTTCACAATGAATCAATGTATTTTCACAAATTATTTATTAAAATTGTTAAAAAAAAATAAAAATAAAAAGTAGACCAGAATCCAATGAACAGGCTGCATTTACTCCATTTTCCTAAAAAGAAAAAGAAAAAAAAAGTTTCCTGTAAGTGGTAGAGTTGGTGTAGGGCAGAATACAGTCTGTACAGTATAAAAACCATTACAGCTATGAAGAATCCCCATAAACAACCAATGGACCCTTTTCACAAGACTGTTATGATGTGTTGTTAAAGATCATCTGCATCCTAAATACCTTAGTTTTTAATATTTAGATTTTTTAAACTTATGTACATTTTCATTCATATATGTATAATACAATCTTTATGTCAAATTAAAAAAACAATGCGAGGAGTATCTAATGAAGTGTCTATGGGGACAGGACAGTAAATTTGACATTGTTTTCTGTAGCAAATAGAATTGTAAAAAAAAAAAAAAAAAAAAGTCTATACTCTCTCAATCACTGCGCTCGGAGTTTACCAGCTATGATGATTTCTGCTGCTAAAAAACACGCAAATGTGAAAAGGGTCCATACAAGTGTGTGCGTGTGTGTATGTGTGTGCGTGCGTGCACAAATTATTACCTTACTTGTAACTTGTGCTCATCATTTACTTTTTCCCTGAGTGCTGCCCTGATAAATTTTATTGGTACGTTTGGAAACTTCTTCTGTACTACGTCTGTAAATTCCCCTCTTCTGAAAATCCTCCTCCTGAGAGTTTCTTTGTTCTCTAAAGAGAAATAGATAAAGTTGAAAATACTTATCTTTAATCATGATAAAGCATGGGCAGGATTTAAGTTTCTGTTGGTATGATAACCTTGAATAAAATATCACAATATTGTGATTACTGCTCTAAAATAAGTTATTTTTAAACATCTGAATAAAAAACAACAACTTAAACATTATATTTTAGGAAAGATTTTAAATATTTTGGAACGGCAAACATGTCAGGCTAAATAATTAAAATAAATCACTGACTGCTGCTGTCGTCATTAGTTTCAAAAACACAGATTTCTTTACAACACATAATAAACCTTTACAAATACCTTGGAAACGGTATAGCAGAAAATATTGGTGGTTATAAAACCGTGACTTTTCCAAACAGACATAAACGTTGAAAACGGTTATTGTCCAATGCCTACTCATGATCACAAGTCTTGATGTTTGCTGTACTTTTTACCTTTAATGTCTAGAACTGTGGCTGGTGAACTTTCATCCTCATAGGCAACATCCACAACATCCCCAGGTTCAAATTTCTTTTTCAGTAGGTTCTTTTTAATAATGTCATAGGTCGATGGTTCCTCCCTCCATTCCACTAACGTTAGGACTCATGTTTTGCCCATTTTCTAAGATAGATAAATATATAGACATAAATAAACACACATGCACACAATTAATTCTGATGGCTACAGCTGACTGTATCCATGACAACAGTTTTACCTTAATGTACCTGCCAAAGAGTAGTTTGCTGTCCGGCCGCGGCGATAAATGATTTCTAAAGGTAACAAAAACTGTATTAGCATCAATTATAAGCAGTGAAAATACTAAATAAAACACTGGTTATGTTAACAATGATAAAAATATCATTTCATATAGTAATTTTTTTAATTAAGTTCTTATATGATGGGCGGTAGTAGACCTTGGTATATTACGTTAGCAATGTACTAGTATTGTTAATGTGATCTCGACTTTAAACATCAAGTAAGTGTTTGTTTTGGTGTTACAAAACAATTTACTGATTTAACATTAAAACAGAGCAGTTATTAGAGCACTTTATCGATAAAATAACTTAAGAAAAGTGTTTTACCTTCAGAAGACGGTTGGTGACAGTTGACTGACGTGCATTCGAATCGGCGACGTGAAGCGAGTCATCTCAATGAATCGAATCTTTTCTCTGAATGATTCATTTTACCGGAGTTTATAATGTAAACTACACTGTTACACCAGTAGGTGGCGAAAACGAGCGTCTTTTTTAAGCGTGAAAGACTGTATAAATCTGTAAAGCACAGATTCATCAAAACACACGTATTCCACAAACAAATAATTTATTTTGTAAGAAAAAATCTGTTTATAAGAATGTTTGTTTTAATGTCTAGTCCATTTTGTCAAATAATATACATAACATTAGTAGTAGTCATTATTAACTTAAAATATTGTAAATATATTATGTGTATAAAATAGACATATACATTATTGGCAGCAATGTATTATCTAATTTCAATTTAGCATTTATATCTTATTTTATTTAAAATGTTTAACAAATGTTTATATTAATTTATTAATTAAATTTACTCTAACATTGCAGAAAACACATTATGTTTACCAATCACCTGAACAATAACCCTATCCTGCTTCTTTTTAAAGAATAAAAATGGAGTAAAAAGTGTACTTAAATGAAGAGGCACCAGTTCCAGCTGCAACAAAAAGGCAATGGACACAGAATAAAATAGGTTGCTCAGGTCAAAAAGACAGAGAATAAAGGATAACAGCAACAAACATTTTAAAAGAAAGAGGAAGAGACTCTGTTGAACTCATAAAATGCACAGACATACGTTTAACATATGTCTACCTCAAGGACAGGTCTTGCAGTTTTTATTTATTTATTTTTATTTTTTTGCATCTAACCAAACAGATTTTTAGTAAATGAAAAGAAGTATAGAAATGAAACGTAAAAGTGTAGCTTGCTTGTTTGCATAAATGCATAATTTGAATGGTTTAGTGTAATGGTTGATTTTAATAATTGCCTATGATCTATTTGTATACTGTATAATATCTCTCGCTTTAATCACCATATATAGACCCCCAGGACCCTATGTCAAATTTCTAAAAGAATTTTCTGATTTTATTTCTGACTTACTAGTCAAAACTGATAAAATGCTAATTGTAGGTGACTTTAACATCCACATAGATGACGCTAATGATACATTAGGACTCGCGTTTATGGATTTAATACACTCACTTGGGATAAAGCAAAACGTTGTGGGTCCAACCCATCGCTTAAAGCATACATTAGATCTAATTCTGTCTTATGGAATCGAGGTTATTGACGTAGACATTATACCACAAAGTGATGATATTACAGATCACTACCTCTTACTATATAAGCTATGTTTACCTGAAATCAGCAAACCCGCTCCAATACTCCGCCCTAGTAGAACTATTGTTCCGTCAACTAAAGATGAATTTATAAATAACTTACCTGATCTCTCTCTATTTCGTAATGCACCCGCTGTCACGGTCGGTGAGGGAAAAAAAGGAGTGCAGACCCAATTGCAGAAAAATGAAGGAATATTTATTATAAACTACAAATAAAAATAAAAGGCAAAACAAAACTACCCCGAAGGGGAAAACATTAATAAAAAGGCAAAAACAAACTTGACAGGGCTGGCAGGACAAAACAGGACTGGAGACAACAAGACAGAGTAATATTGACGACGAACTGACAAAGGCCTGAAAACATGAGGGGGATTATAAAGCAAAAAAGTAAATTGAAACACAGGTGAACACAATTAACTAAATATGGGTTAACAAGGAGGGTGGGACTAGACAATAGACGGGAGAGCGCACGACACAGAGAGACAATACAAGCCATGCGCTCACATAACGCAACACTGAAGCACACGACAAAAGCACGTGACCACAATGTAAACACCGAGCCACGTGCTTTGACAAGAGACGCAAGACACGAGCACACGATAGATAAATACCTTACCGTGCGCTCACACATAAGCAACGCGCATGCTTCATCTCAGCGCCAACCAAAACTGAAACCAACTAGACGGAGGCGCCGAGAATAAAGCAGCGCGCTGCTGACAGAACAAACACAAACACTAGTACAAGAGCGCGCGCGTCTGAGGGACGCAGAGCGTGCGCGGCCACATCAAGTGGCAGCGCGCACACTCTGCGTACACCCACGACGGCGCGCGCGCGCACACAGAGACAGAAACAGGACCAGACGTGGAGTAGTGTCAGAGCTCTGCCACCAAAACAAGAATTTACAAGACCAAAGTGGCAGAACCCTGACACTAGCCCCCCCCAAAAGGGACGCCACCTGGCGTCCCTAAAGGGAACATCCAACAAGGTACAAGACAGACAAGAAACAATACAAGACAACAAAACAGGCAACATCAACAGACACAAGACAGGGGGGTGAACAGGCAAGACGACATGAAGGGGGGGAGGGAGGGAAGCCAAGCCGGACTCAACAAGACAAACAAGGGAGGGATGGGAGGGCAAGACCAGGGAGGATCAGGAGGGACAGTCCAGGGTGGATTCAGTGGGTCGGGGGCCCCGGCAGGGAGCCAGGGTGGAGCCGGAGGGTCCGTCCAGGGTGCAGGGAGGGAACACCAGGGAGGAGCAGGAGGGACGACCCAGGGAGAGTCTATCAGGGGAGACAAGGCAGGAGGTTGGTGGGGAGCCGGCTGGGCTGGAGGCCTGTGGGGAGCCGGCTGGGCTGGAGACCAGAGGGGAGCCGGCAGGGCAAGGCGCCGGGCTGGGACCGGCAGGGCGAGACGTCTGGGTGGCGCCGGCAGGGCAGGGAGCCGAGCTGGGGCCGGCTGGGCGAGACGTCTGGGTGGCGCCGGCTGGGCGAGACGTCTGGGTGGCGCCGGCTGGGCGAGACGTCTGGGTGGCGCCGGCAGGGCGAGACGTCTGGGTGGCGCCGGCAGGGCGAGACGTCTGGGTGGCGCCGGCAGGGCGAGACGTCTGGGTGGCGCCGGCAGGGCGAGACGTCTGGGTGGCGCCGGCAGGGCGAGACGTCTGGGTGGCGCCGGCAGGGCAAGGAGCCGGGCTGGGACCGGCTGGGAAAGACGTCTGGGTGGTGCCGGCAGGGCAAGGGACCGGGCTGGGGCCGGCTGGGCAAGACGTCTGGGTGGCGCCGGAAGGGCAAGACGTCTGGGTGGCGCCGGCAGGGCAAGGAGCCGGGCTGGGGCCGGCTGGGCAAGACGTCTGGGTGGCGCCGGCAGGGCAAGGAGCCGGGCTGGTGCCGGCAGGGCTAGACGTCTGGGTGGCGCCGGCAGGGCTAGACGTCGGGATGGCGCCGGCAGGGCTAGACGTCGGGATGGCGCCGGCAGGGCAAGGAGTCGGGCTGGCGCCGGCAGGGCTAGACGTCTGGGTGGCGCCGGCAGGGCAAGACGTCTGGGTGGCGCCGGCAGGGCAAGGAGCCGGGCTGGGGCCGGCTGGGCAAGACGTCTGGGTGGCGCCGGCAGGGCAAGGAGCCGGGCTGGGGCCGGCTGGGCAAGACGTCTGGGTGGCGCCGGCAGGGCAAGGAGCCGGGCTGGGGCCGGCTGGGCAAGACGTCTGGGTGGCGCCGGCAGGGCAAGGAGCCGGACTGGGACCGGCACTGAGGGACGCTCAGGGGCAGGAGCCGACACTGGAGGGCGCTCAGGGGCAGGAGCCGACACTGGAGGGCGCTCAGGGGCAGGAGCCGACACTGGAGGGCGCTCAGGGGCTGGAGCCGACACTGGAGGGCGCTCAGGGGCTGGAGCCGACACTGGAGGGCGCTCAGGGGCTGGAGCCGACACTGGAGGGCGCTCAGGGGCTGGAGCCGACACTGGAGGGCGCTCAGGGGCTGGAGCCGACACTGGAGGGCGCTCAGGGGCTGGAGCCGACACTGGAGGGCGCTCAGGGGCTGGAGCCGACACTGGAGGGCGCTCAGGGGCTGGAGCCGACACTGGAGGGCGCTCAGGGGCTGGAGCCGACACTGGAGGGCGCTCAGGGGCTGGAGCCGACACTGGAGGGCGCTCAGGGGCTGGAGCCGACACTGGAGGGCGCTCAGGGGCTGGAGCCGACACTGGAGGGCGCTCAGGGGCTGGAGCCGACACTGGAGGGCGCTCAGGGGCTGGAGCCGACACTGGAGGGCGCTCAGGGGCTGGAGCCGACACTGGAGGGCGCTCAGGGGCTGGAGCCGACACTGGAGGGCGCTCAGGGGCTGGAGCCGACACTGGAGGGCGCTCAGGGGCTGGAGCCGACACTGGAGGGCGCTCAGGGGCTGGAGCCGACACTGGAGGGCGCTCAGGGGCTGGAGCCGACACTGGAGGGCGCTCAGGGGCTGGAGCCGACACTGGAGGGCGCTCAGGGGCTGGAGCCGACACTGGAGGGCGCTCAGGGGCTGGAGCCGACACTGGAGGGCGCTCAGGGGCTGGAGCCGACACTGGAGGGCGCTCAGGGGCTGGAGCCGACACTGGAGGGCGCTCAGGGGCTGGAGCCGACACTGGAGGGCGCTCAGGGGCTGGAGCCGACACTGGAGGGCGCTCAGGGGCTGGAGCCGACACTGGAGGGCGCTCAGGGGCTGGAGCCGACACTGGAGGGCGCTCAGGGGCTGGAGCCGACACTGGAGGGCGCTCAGGGGCTGGAGCCGACACTGGAGGGCGCTCAGGGGCTGGAGCCGACACTGGAGGGCGCTCAGGGGCTGGAGCCGACACTGGAGGGCGCTCAGGGGCTGGAGCCGACACTGGAGGGCGCTCAGGGGCTGGAGCCGACACTGGAGGGCGCTCAGGGGCTGGAGCCGACACTGGAGGGCGC